CTGCCCAGGGAAGTGGTTGAGTCACCATCCCTGGAGGTATTTAAAAGACATGTAGATGTGGTGCTTAGGGACATGGTTTAGTGGGCATGGTGGTGTTGGGTTGACGGTTGGACTCGATGATCCTAGAGGTCTTTTCCAACCTTAACGATTCTATTATTCTATGATTCATTTTGTTCTGTGTTCCAGAGTTGGTGACTCCAATTTAAAGGCTGACTAGATTTTAAATAGCTACTCCTGTTGTCAGGAGAAGAAAGCATAAATATTTAAAACTAAGACCAAAGTTCAGCTGTCCTTAGAGTATTTTACATAATAAAAAAAAAAATTTGTTGCTTTATGCACGCTTCTTACACCTGAATCTCTTAAATTTGGGAAGATTTTTATTTCAGGAGGAGCAATGTATGCATACACTTTATTATGGTAATCTGCCTGCTGAGGTGTGGAGTCTTCCACGGGCTGCAGGTGGATATCTGCTCCACCGTTAACTTCCATGGGCTGCAGGAGTACAACCTGCCTCACCATGGTCTTCACCACGGGCTGCAGAGGAATCTCTGCTCTGGTGCCTGGAGCACCTCCTCTCCCTCGTTCTTCACTGACCTTGGTGTCTGCAGAGTTGTTTCTCTCACATATTCTCACTCCTCTCTCCGGCTGCTGTGCAGCATTTTTACACTTTCTTAAATGTGTTACCACAGAGGAGCCACCGGCTTTGCTGATGGGCTCAGCTGTGTCCTGCAGTGGGTCCATTTTGGAGCCAGCTGGAACTGTTTCTCTCCGATACGGGGGCCACCCCTGGTGTCTTCTCACAGAGGCCACCCCTGCAACCCCCCATCTGGTACCAAAACCTTGCCATGTAAACCAAATACCATCTCACACACGCCTCATGCTTGTCCCCTCTCAGATCTTGTCAAATAGCAATCTTGACTTTCTTCCTCTCCTTCTTCCCCCACGCTCCTCCACCCTTACTTGTGACAAGGATGGGCTTAGGGTTGAAAGTGTTTTCAGTTCCTAATTGAAGGATGGACAGTTAAGACATCTGAAAATTGAGAGATTCTTTTCATACCCTATTTTTGTGTCCTAAGTGAGTGCTGTAACCACCAAGGCTGTTAGTGGCATAGAGGTCTCTGGCTTTCTGGAAAAAGATTAACTTGGTTTAAGCACTGAATGCAGATAGTTTTTTCTCTCTTCTCTGAAAGTGGGAATTTTGAGTTGGAGCTGTTGACTGCATTTCGTAAAGGCTGGGTTAGGTGGTCCTTGCCCAGTTCACTGCTTCTCATAAAGATGATTTTCACAATTTGCAAGACTTTCCTAGAGGAAGGGAGGCTATGAACATTCCTAGAAAGAACACATAACGACTAAATGTGAGGAGAGGGCCTCTAAGGAGGTGCTACTGTACTATGAATGAAAGGGTGTTGCGTGATCAGATTTCATATATGTACTTTTTTCTTGATTTCTTGCATATCTAATGCTCCTGTACTTTTGTCCTAACAGATGCATATTCCTGGTCATGCTGGCTTCCAAGGAAATGAAGAAGCTGATAGACTAGCAAGAGAAGGAGCTACTAAACAAAGTCCTGACGTACTGGGACTAGAGACTGTTGCAGTGGGAGGAAAAGGACCAACACCACAGTGACAACTTGAACTGCTGTAATTGTTTCAGAGTTGAACTTTGAACTGTACTTCCTTCTGGCCTGAAGTGTTAAACATATACCAACTTCTGGGGAGAAAAAAACAAATTTTCTTCTGTAGCGTTTGTTTCACAATCGAGTCAATGTTTAGTTGATGATACAGAGTGTTTGGTTTTTCTCCATCTTACTGAAGGGCCGTGGTCAGTGTTTTTAGCTGTCTTGTAGACTTCTGAATTCACCGTAAAGACAGGCTTCTGAAGAAGTAATATTAAATCTTTATCCTAAGTGTTCTGTATTTTCCTCTTAGTGAAATAAATTAATTTTTTGTACAGAGGTATATATTAACAGCCCAAAACAGTTGGGGGTGGGGGGCTTTGGGGTTGGTTGGTTTGGTAAGAGGTCAGTGACCTAACACGGAGATGTCCATTAATATGCTTTGGCGTTCTGGTACTAGCAATAACCGCTCCACAGATGGGCTTGTAGCACTCACCCGTGCCTCACAGTATCATCGGTTACAGCATCTGTAGATTTCTTTATAATGTTACTTACTTTGCAAGGTAGCATGAACAAACTAAAAAGCCAGGTCACAAGAAAACTTGAGCAATGAATTTTTACTGTTCTCCTCTCTCTAGCTGCTTAATGTCCAAGCTCTTTGTTTCTGGCTTCCTGTTTCCATTAAGTAATTTTTTGTGCATACTGGTTCTCATTAGCATTGTTAGTTCCTCTTCAGTACTGTCCCAACAGTAATAACTGGCCATTTTATCTGAAATGGAACTAGAAGATGATCAGCTTCTCCAGATCTTCTGGATGTCAAGTGTTTGACTTCATTTTTTTCCAGTCAGTGATGAGATTAATGCAATGGCTGATGTGCACTTGAATTAGAGTAATTACCAGTAATCAACATAGTTTTATTTTCTAAGCATCTATATGGGAAGAGCAAACAGGTTTGGTATGTTATCTTTGTCAACTTCTTTGTAAGGTACCTTCATACCATTCAGTAGTAGGGCTTAAGCTAGAAGCCACTGAATTTTTTTTTGTGTATTTGTAAATTGCTACACAGAATGGTAGAGCTGCTGAAGCTTTATTTCTTAATAGTTCTCATGCACTGCAGTATCTTCGCTGAGGCAAAGTATGGGCTCTTATGTATTTAGAATCACATGAATTGTGATAGAATGAGGAAACTGGCTACCTAGTAGTTAATAGATGAGTAAGGTTTTCCTAATTTGTTTTCCCTCATCCAAAACTGCACAGTAAAGCTCATCTAGGAGTAAGGTAGTGCACTGATTAGGTTTTCCCCTCTCTTTTTGTATATGTGTATATCTTCTTTTGTATACGTTATCCATCTGTTCGTTTATTTTAGTAGTTTGGCTTGAAGGAAAACACCCCATCATCCCTGATCAGATCTCTAGTTGAGGCAGAACAGTGTGACAAACAACGTACGGAAGACGTGGCATCTAATAATCTGCCTATCGCACATCTCTAGTTAAACATGTAGATCCTATTTATTGTATGGAAATCTGTATTTTTTTGAAGGAGCAGCTTTGGAAAAGAAGTGTAGATAATGGTGAGTAAATCATAACATCAGTGTAATACTGAATTTAAGCAACTTTACTACCTGAATCTAATAGGTAGATTATAATAGGAAATCTAATAGGAAGGAGTTCTATGTTAATTTGATACCAATGTTTATCGTTCTTACTCTGGAAATTCAGGACAAAAGAAAGCTGAGAGGAAAGTTACAAGATTAAGGCTGATGAAAGGATGGAAAGCAAATAATACTTCTCAACAGGACTTACCAGGGGCTGGAGGACCCACAGAGGATGTTGGCTGTTCAAGTCATTCTTTTCAGGGAACTGGAACTTTAGGAGGGTATTGGCTTTTAGCAGCCATGACATTCGGTGGGCAGGCACTGAACTTCTGGCCGGATTTGGATGCGCTTCTAAAAATGTGGACAGTGCCAGCGTTATGCCAGCTTACATGTTACGGGACTTGCAAATAAATTTTATCCAGAATCGATAACCAGTAGTGCTTATACATTGAATACTATACATTAAAGGGATCTGGTAACATTTCTAAGAGTCTGAGAAACAGTGGTTAAGGCAACATTTTGGTAAGTATAAAACTCTTTTTAGGAAGAAAAATGTTTAAGGAGGGATCGTTTCTTTTTCAGTTGGTTCTCCATCCTTACATTGTGTTTAGCTGGCTGCTGGTTTATTTACTGTATAGAATTGGAGAACCATGGAGGCGGGAGGGGACCACTGGACTGCATCTTGTCCACCCCAGCACAAGCAGGTCACCCAGAGCAGGTTGCTCAGGATGTGAGTATCTCCGTGGATGGAGACAACACAAGCTTTCTGGGCAGTATGTCTTACCACTCTACTTTCTTTTTTTTCCCTAATTTATTTTTTATTTCTCCATATTGTGGGGTTGCAATGCAGGTTGGTCTTTGAGGCTGAGACTTAGCGGCAAATTCAGTCAGAGCGTTACTGCCAGGGCAGGCTAGATGTAAACAAAATTGCTGTTGAAGTTAGGCGTGATGTGTGCTGTAACCAGCACGTTACCCAAGAGGGCTTGTGCGGGTGAGAAGCCCCTTACCCTAGCAGATGTGTTTCAGGGAGAGCTCTCATCACCTGTGCCGTTGAGCCTAAAGCTATACACTAAAATGACAGCTGTGTCTGCTACTCAGTACACCCTCTTCACCGTATTTTGAGTT